CAGGTCAAAAGTAAATTCTATTAAAGTTGAATTTAAGAATAACTTAAAAACGCATGGTTCATCGAATCACGCATTTTTATGCGTTTTGTGCCGTGTAACAGCAGCACAAAACGCATATTGTCACGGGGTTGTCTGTGTTTGTGTGTATGTGTATGTCCGCAGCAACTTGCCTGCGACTTTCAATTCGGGTACCACAAAAGCTGGGAAGCTGAAAATTTAGGGGAACGTTCCCCACCCACGTGCAACAGCGCAAATTTAAATTCAGCCTCCCGCGGATAACATGAACGGCCCCGTAAAAGTTGGGCAGGTAAAGTTATTATCACGAGAACCACCGAAACTAGAAGGCTGAAAATTTAGGAGAACGTTCTTCACCCACGTGCTACCCAGAAAATTTAAAATCAGCTTTCCCCTCTCTACAGGTAACACGTTTGGCCCAGTGAAAATTTTGATGGGTAAATTATTATTTCAGGAAACATGGAATCTAGAAAACTGAAATTTTAGGGTCATTACCCCTGCTCACGAACAATTTTGCAATTTCATATTCGGCGTTCCCGCGCTCTCGTGTATCACCTGCGACCCCGTGAAAATTTTTGCGGGTAAATTATTATCTCGGGAACCACGAGATCTAGGAAGCTGAAGTTTTAGCGCGGCATCCCTTGCTCACGTGCAACTCCGCAAATTTTTAACGTAACCCTGGAATTTTTGGCGGGAAAAATCATCTCGGGAGCCAAAAGTGCTAGGAGACTGAAAATTTCAGGAGAATGTTTCATGTCTAAACAAGGCATCACAAATTCGAATTCAGTTTCTAACTATGTTGAGGTCTCTCGCACTACCACGTGAAAGTTTTGTCTCAAAGATCACTCGACGGCCAAAAAATTAGATTAAAATTTTGTCCGAAGTTTTAAATTTAGCTTTCACGTGCCTGTTGGCGAAATTTTTAACTATTTTTCGGCATTTCAACTTTTTTTGCACAGACTAAAGTACAAAGCAATGAAAATCATTAACGGGCAATCGTTCGGTGGACAGAATTGCACAAAACGCACGATCGCAGTGGCTGTTTCGGTGCGCGCTGCTTTTTATTTAACATTTAGTATGATTCGGATGATAATTGTCGGTTGCCGTGACATTTAATGATCTGCATGATCGTGGCTTAATTTCTGCGAGGACCCGAGCTTTCTAGCACATTTACTTTGCGTAAAATCAGTCCTACAAAATTTCGACACAAAATACACCGCAGAGATCTTGATAAGGGAAAGAGGGAATATGCTCAGCAGTAGACTTTCTCTTCGAGACCAATTTTTTTTTGGAAATCATCCATTAGTCTTTGAAAAGCATTGAAACAAATACAGGCTTTTGAAAGGGACAATTTCAGAGACACCGTGCAACCGTTGGACCTCGCACCACCAACCAGGAAACTGATGAAACTGAAGGAGACTGGAATTGCTGACAAACTTTTTGTAAATCCCGGGTGCCCTCATCTGCGAGCATTCAGTCTGTTGAAGGTGAGTGAATGGATTTGTACTGTTTAGTAATTCATTTGTTTCGTTTCACTTGTTAGCATCTGCAAATAATTAATTTTTAGATCTACCGATCCCAGCTCGTTGTTCGCGCGCATGATATTGGCGCAATAACCGGCGATGACATAAGGCGT